GTCTGTGCAGTCCTTGTGCCTAGTCTGCCATCTTGCCGGAACTCTCGAGTGTTGAAATTTTTAATGATGAGTGAGTGTTGAATTTTGCCAGTTGCTTTTTCAACATTTCTTGGGATGATTATATGGTTTTTCTCCTTCAGCCCACTAAGGTGGTAAATTATATTGATAGATTTTCTAATGTTATTCCTGTATTCCTGGGATAATGCCAACTTAGTTATGATGTTCCTTCTAGGTCTTCACTTACGTGACATCTGTAGCTGTTTGTGGATATAGAAAAATATATGTTGTTAACTCAACTTGTTTTTTCTCGTTACAGGCAATTTTTCAGTGATGTCATTACAAACACTATGCAGGAGTTGGAAGATTTTGGCACCTTTTCCATTCTCCTGCAAACTTTAAACAAAGAGAGGGAAAATAAAATGCATTTCTACGATGTCATTGCTAGGTCAGCTTATTATTCGGCTTATTTACTTTGCTGTATTTTAAAATGCTTATAAATTAGGACTGCTAAGACCTTGATTTCTAAAGGAAACTAAAGTTATAGTTTCTAGAAATGGCTAGAAGAATTGGATTCTATTCCTAGTACAATAACTCAGATTTCTGGCCTCAATATCTTTATCCACAATTTTTAAGAATGCAAGACTGACCCCAAGTGAAGAGGAAGGCAAGTTGGATCGAAGCATCTTAGACTGCCATGCTGTTAATCTAAGGATGGTCCAGCAAGGACATTAGGGAGTCTTCAAGCCAAAGTTGACCAGCAGGAAAGTCTTGGGTCTTCTAGGAATGGGTCTGCCTTAGTATCCCTAACACTCAGTACTTAGTTAGGAGCAGCCTGTGGAAGTGATGGATTTCAGAGGCCAGCAGCTGGGACCTTGTTCACTTCTGCTTCTATAGCTGAGTGTGTTACTAAGTTCTCTAAGACACGTTTTCTAATCTATAAAATAAAGATAGAGACTACCTTATTGTAAGAGTATGCAATTATTAAAGTGCTCAGAATAGAAAGAATTCTCCTTTTCCCTCTTCCTGTCCCTTCTCTTCCTCACTTTTTCTCAGCAACAGCTGTTTTAGATGCAACACTGATGAGCCAGAAAATCTTTCAAGTTACTAAAACAAATCACAGTCTTATATAATAAGTAAGTGCTGCTGAAAATGTGCTCAAGACCTAGCACCATTAGCATCACCTGGTAACTTGTTAAAGATGTACATTCCGAGGCCCCATCTCAGACCAATTGATCAGAATCTCTAGGGGTGGAGCCCAGGCATTTTTTTTTTTTTTTTTTAACTTCCAGGTGTTCCTTGTGCACACTCACGTTTGAGAAACGCTGCTCTAAACAAATCATTCTTATTTCCTTTAGCGAGGAGAAAGGAAGAAAGCAGATCAAAACTCTCCAAAAACAGCTACTTAATGTCAAAAAAGAACGGAAAGTTGAAGTACAGGTAAGAATTGCTTTAGGTAAGCAAGACAACATCAAATGTTACTGAGCTGAACTGGCTGTATAGAAGCCATCTTTCTCAAGCAAAGTTATGTATGGAAGATTATTATTTCTCCTGAGGAGAAAGTTACTATTGAAAATATATAGAGAGTAACTAGAGAGCAGGAGCCCTGGTGGTGCAGTGGTTAAGCGTTCTGCTAATAAAGGAAAGGTCAGGAGTTCAAACCCACCAGCTGCTCCACAGGAGAAAGGTGAAGCAGTCTGCTCCCGGAAAGACTGCAGCCTTGGAAACCCCATAGAGCAGTTGTACTGCTATAAGAAAATGCATCCAAGTTTTAAGCAATTGACTTGCAAAACAATGTGGGCTACAGCCTAGGTGGTTAAAGATTAGCGATATCAGCTAACCGTGTTAACCGTGTTAGAAAGTTACAAAGTGTGGCCTAATACAGGCTTTTCATTGCTAGCTTTTTGCACAGGTTCATGCTTTTTTAGCAGTATAGTTTTTCCCTACATAGAATTTGGAAGAATATTTTTCAGTAAATTTGAAAGAATTGTGTAAAACAAATTGAGGTCCCTAGCCTATCTTCCAAAATATTATCTGTAGGTCTGAACATATTGCTTAACCTTCTTGTTTTCTTTTTGCCAATTATGAAGTACTTCTGGTACTGGTTTTGACATCATTATCCCTATTAACCCTCTGCTTATAACTTTTTTGTGTGTGTGATTTTGGTGAAAGTTTCCAGAACAAATTCATTTAACAGCAGTTCATCACATTTTGCCTCATGACATTGACTGTAATTCCCACAATGTAATAGCTTTCTTCCCACTTCCTTCCTGTAGTTACCTCTTCCCTGTGTCCTTCCCTCCCATGTACTGCTGTCCCCCAAGCTGCCTCCCTGTGCAAACACTGCCCTTCTGTTCTCCCATGATTGATTGTTCCAAGGAGTATATCTATCTGATGTAAACATTGACCTATATGACTATTGTTTGGCTGGAAGCAATGAGAGTGAATTCAATTCCAGGCCTGAAGGGTAACTAAAGTACATAGTCTTGGGGGTCTCCCAGGGCTCTATCAGACCAGTAAACCTGTTTTTTTTTTTTAATGATTTTGAGTTTTATTCCACATTGTTCTCCCACTCTATCCAGGATCTCATGCACCAGTCCCTCTCTGAGTGGTTGACAGTGGAAGCCAGGCACCATCTAATTCTTTTGGTCTCATGATCATATAGGCTGAGGATCGCATGGTCTACTAGTCCCTTGGAATAATTGTTTCTATGTGTCTTTGTTTCTCTTCATTCTTCTTTGCTCTTGATGAGGAGAGACCTATCGCTGCATCTAGATGGCCGCTTGCTATCTAGTTGCTACTTACCAAAGTAGGATGTAGAAAAATATTTTTGTGTAGTGTGTTAAACTGGTTGGGCTTGATGTCCCCTGCAACCATGATTTGGAGCCCACAGGTCCAACTACTTGCTTCCTCTGGGTAGCTATCTGTGGCCAAGAAGCCACCATAACTTTGCCCCTTGTCAGCTCTACTGTACACTGGGACATTCTTACAACACATAAAATATGCACGTAGGAAATTGTCTGCTAACCCTACACATGATCACAGACACACTTCCGCCTGCCTAGATATACCTGATTGTTCAGCCTCTCCACCCATTTATCCACTTATAGATCAATGTTTGCCATCACTGATAGTGTAGTACTGTATGTACAAAAGGGTTCATCTTTGTTGTCTGTATCTCCCATGTAACTCTTGCTGTCTTCCCCTTCCTCAATGCTACCATATTGACCACTTACTTTTGGTACATTGCCCTTCCCTTCACCCAAATCAATACTTGTCTCTACCTATCTAGCAGTGTTCTCTTCCCTCCTTCCATATATAAAGCTTTCTTTGATTTTTTTTACAATAATGAATTAATACAATATTTGTCCTTCTATGATTGACTTATTTTACTCAGCATAATGTCCTCCAAATTCATCCATGTTATATAGTGTTTTGTAGATTCTTCATTATTCTTTAGTGTTGCATAGTATTCCATTGTGTATATGTACCATAGTTTGCTTATCCATTCTTCTGTTGATGGGCACTTAGGTTGTTTCCATCTCTTTGCTATTGTAAACAGTGCTGCAATAAACGTGGTGTGCATATATCTCTTCTTGTCCTGGCTGTCACTTCTTTAGGCTATATACCTAGTAATGGGATTGCTGGATCAAATGGTATTTCCAATTCCAACTTTTTGAGGAATTGCCATACTGCTTCCTACAATGGTTGTATCATTTTAGAGCCCCACTAGCAGTGTTGGAGAGTCCCAATCTCTCCACATCCTTGCCAACATTTGTTATTTTCTGTCTTGTTGAGCTTAGCTATTAGTGCTGAGGTGAGATGGTATCTTGTTGTTTTGATTTGCATCTCTCTGATGGCTAATGACCATGAACATTTCTCCATGTGTTTGTTGGCCACCTGAATATCCTCTTTGGTGATGTGTCTGTTCATGTCTTCTGCTCATTTATTAATTGAATTGTTTGTCTTTTTGTTGTTGGAGTTTTCTATAAATTTTAGAGATAAGTCCCTTGTCAGATGTGTTGTTGCTGAATATTTTTTCCCAATATGTAAGTTCTCTTTTGACTCTTCTGGAGAAGTCTTTTGAAGCACATAAAATTTAATTTTTATTTATTTATTTTTTCTTCATAATGACAAGTCAGTAGCATATTTATTATTGCCATCCATATAAATTCCTTTTTGGCTCAGCTAACAAATTACACAATGCAAAGCAAAATATGTCATTGTTGTTAGGTGTCTTCAAGTTGGTTCTGACTCAAAGTTGACTCCATGTACAACAAAACAAAATATGACTCAGTCCTGTGCCATTCTCACAATCGTTGCTATGCTGGAGCCCATCACTACAGTCACTGTATCTGTCCCTCTCTCCCTTTTGGATGACCCTATATTTTACCATGTGTGATATCCTTCTCCAGGGACTGGTCACTTCTGACAACATAACAGAAGTTAAGTGAGACAAAGTCTGGCCATTTTCACTTCTAAGGAGCATTCTGGCTGTACTTTATTCGGGACAGATTTGTCCACTCTTCTGGCAGGCCATGGTATATGCAATATTCTTCACCAACACCATAAGTCAAATACATCATTCTTTTATGGTCTTCCTTACTCTTGCCCAGCTTTCACATGCATATGAGGCTACTGAAAATACCACAGCTTGAGTCAGGCGAACCTTAGTCTTTAAAATGACATTTTGTTCTTCAACATTTTAAAGAGTTCTTTTGCAGCGTATTTGTCAAATGCAATATGTTGTTTGATTTCTTGATTGTTGTTTCCATGGGCATTTACTGTGGATCCAAGTAAAATTAAATCCTTCACAGCTTCAGTCTTTTCTCCTTTATTATGATATTGCTTATTGGTTCAGTTGTGAGAATTTTTGTTTTCTTTATGTTAAGGTGTAGTCCAAACTGAAGACTGTTGTCTTTGATCTTCATAAGTAAGGGTTTCAAGTCTTCCTCACTTTCAGAAAGCAAACTTGTGTCGTCTGTGTATTGCAGGTTGCTAATGAGTTTTCCTCCAAGCTTGATTCTATGCTCTCCATACAGTCCAGCTTCTTGGATTATCTGCTCAGCATACAGATTGAAAATGTATAGTAAAAGGATACAATACTGATGCACACCTTTCCTGATTTTAAACCATTCTGTTCTGTTTGAACAATTGCCTCTTCTTCTGTGTACAGGTTTCTCATGAGTACAATTAAGTCTTCGAGGAATTCTCATTCTTTGTAATATTACCCATAATTTGTTATGATCCACACAGTTGAATGCCTTTTCACAGTCAATAAAACATAGGTAAACATCTTTCTGATATTCTTTGTTTTCAGCCAAGATCCATCTTACATTAACAATGATATCCCTCATTACATGCCCTCTTCTGAAACCAGCTTGAATTTCTGGCAGTTCACTGTCGATGTACTGGTACAACCATTTTTAAATTATCTTCAGGAAATTTTACTTGTGTGTGAATATTGATCCATAATTTCTACATTCTGTTGGATCACTTTTGTTGGGAATGGGCACAAATATGGATCTTTTCCGGTAGATAAAAGTTGGCCAGGTAGCTGTCTTCCAAATTTCTTAGCAGAAACAAAGCCTTCCAATGCTGCATCCATTTGTTGAAACATCTTAGTAGGTATTCAGTCAATTCCTGAAGCTTGTTTTACTCCAATTCCTTCAGTGCAGCTTGGACTTCTTCTTCCTT